GTGTGAGCTTAGACTTAATACCACATTCTTGCTTGGAGGTTTTAAAAATGAAAAAAAAGAGAAACTGAATCTGTTTTTGAAAGATTCATCCTTCAGCCTCCAGCTGCCTCCAGATAAATCTATTTCTTCTAACCAGACCTCTGGTTCTTGGTGGGTACTCATCTGGGGTCCCGAAGCAATGGGGATCAAAGGCTGACCTTCCAAGTCATAAAAGCCACTTGGAACCTAATCTCCTCTGAGCGCCTTTGCAGAACTTACAAGGGCTGGGAGCAGGAGCCACAGGCAGCGTGGTGGGGCTGCATGTGCTTGACAGGGAGGAGGGGCTTCTTGCACTCCCACTGTGTGCCCAAGGGTGGTGGCTGCAGGCAGCATGGGTAGAAAGCCAGCAACATCATGCACAAATCCCCTTGGCAAGGAGGTGACAGGATCACACTTCTCTTTGCAGCTCCCTCCAAATGATGAATTGAAGGCAAGTAATAAACAGCCCTGGGTTTATCAGCAGAATGGGACCGACAGAAAAACAAGAGCGAATACTAGGGTGTTTGTATAGCTCTCTTGTGGCCAGTGACAGTCAGGAAGCAAAGAAATCTCTTCTTAAATCAATTCTTAAAAATATAAGCATTCTCCTGCACCCTATGAATGCATCTCTCATTTGAACAGGAACCAATAGGAAGAAGATTTTGCTTTATGAGGCATCGTTTTCTAGGCCCTTAAATGCTAGTTTAAGCTAAATAAATCTATCAGGCTAAATTAAAGAAATGGGCCCTTGAGGTGTTGCATGAACTCTGGATATGTGGTAACCAAAAAAATCTACTCAATCAAGGACTTAGGAATAGTTACGTTTCTGTATGTTGCCACGGACAGAACTCATAGGACCCAAGAAAGTGCAGGATCAGAGAAAAGCTTCAGCCTGCGCTTCCATACTGCAGCATGGGGGCCAGTGGGAGACGCTGCCTCTCAGATACCAAGTTGGCCATGGCAATAATGTGTCATGTCTTCAGCTAACCATGTACAATGGTAAAATGACAAATGTGTCATTTAGAACCTGCTGAACCAAACATAATGACATATTAATCCAGACAGATTCTTTCCAGGTTATTATGCAAAGGAAGGGAGGGTATGCTAACTCTAATTAAATGGCAGGGCCTGCAACGGTTTCCAACTTATAGAATATTTATTTTATTGATCAACAGGGTTTTTTTTTTTTAGTGGTGGGGATCAAACCCTGGGCCTTGTACATGTTAAGGCCCATTCTCTACTGCTATGTCCCCAGCTCTAACCCCTGTGACATTTCAAATTCTAACATGCTCCTTTAGATGTCCCTGCTGAGGTGATGATGAAGCTGTTTAATTTCTACTGAGATAAAATACACACACACACACACACACACACACACACACACACACGTTCCAGTTGCACCTGGATATTCCACATGCTGCTACCCACACAGCTGGGGGGGGGGGAGGGTAAGTCAGCAAGTAAGTGGATTTGATTTCCAGTGCTCCCTGGGCAGAGCAGTTTGTGCCAAAACCCTACTGAGTGTTCTCATTGGCTCTGGGACAGCACCAGGGTCAGTGTTCTTGGGCTGAGAGAAAGCAGTCCAGCTCTCACTGGTACAGTGTGTAACCCATCAATTTCCTGCTTTGGTATGATGCTACCCTGGAATGCCAAGATCCTCATCTCCCAATCCTTAGCCAACTTTGTTTGCCTTAAATGAAAGCAATTCCAAAAGAACAAGACGTCATCAAATTAGATGTTCTACATGCCTTCTGGGTCATACATGCCAAACAAAGCATCAGACTCTCTGAGCTGGAAGGAACCTTGACTAGCCCCTGGCCCACCCACTCTAAGACATAAAGGATCTATGACTTGTCCGAAGCTATACAGCCACTGGATCTGGCCAGCTGATGGAACACATTAAGCTGAAACCCTCTGAAGGAGTTGCTTTTTGATTATTACTGGTTTGGCTCCTGTTCATTCAAAATAGATTTTTCAAAAATCAAACATTTCAACATAATTGCAAATAGTAAGTGGCTGGCCCTATGGGGGTCTGTCACTGCTAATCTGGCAAATGGTCTTCAGAGAGGCACAGGGCTGCACTGGATGTGAATGAAATCCTCAGCATGCTCCTCTGGGTAGCAATGAATGGCTCAGTTTGTCAGAAAGAAAAGTCGAGGGGTGGGAGGAACCATAGGTTTGCTTAATCCCTTCTTTTTTCTTTTTTAAAAAAGAGCTGTCTTCCCCTGTGATTCATAAATTCAAAAGTTGTTTGACTCCTACAATTTATCTTAATTTAATTTTCTTTCATGTTATGCACACATACATAGAATTAATCTCTCCTTTTGAGAAGCTTTGAGAAGCTTTCCCCTCTCCTCCTATCATGGAGGAAGAAGCAGACCTGGAGGGGACTGAAATGACACCTTCGACTAAATATGAAGCTCTGGAACAGAAAACAGAACTAAACAGAAAAGCCAAGAAAACAAGAATAAAGTCTGAGGCCAAGCTAGCAGCCTTTAATATAGTATGTATTTATCACTCAGCCTGCTTCAAGCTCTGCAGTGTGTGGGTTCTGACGCTGGGTGCTATAATCCTAGCTACTCAGGAGGCTGAGATCTGAGGATCACAGTTCCAAGGCAGCCCAGGCAGGAAAGTCCGTGAGACTCTTATCTCCAATTAACTACCAGAAAACGGGAAGTGGATCTGTGGCTTCAAGTGGTAAAATGTCAGCCTTCAGCAAAAAGCTCATGGACAGAGCCCAAGCCCTGAGTTCAAGCCCTAGGACCAGGAAAAAAAAATTAATAAAAACCAAGAGGTCCTGAGTGCACAGCTCCCAGTGAGTGAAGCCTGTACCTAATGGAGAATTAGAGACCCCTTTGGCTGGCCTTCTTCATTTTGTGGGCCTGTCACCAGCACTCCAGGTTTTCCTCTGTCACAAGAACCATCTGTGCAACCCTGCTGTGTGCCCTCCTCCTTTTCCTCCTCTTCTGTTTCCAGCTCTACCCCCAACCACGTCCATCCTCTTCTCTCCCTGAAGTTCATATGATATGAAACAACATTCATTTTTCCTGTTGCTGCTCCTAAAGGCTTAGAGGGGGGTCTATTCCAGGCAGAGTGTATAGCACCAGCCAGAAGAGGACAACCCTGCTCAGAAGTTCATTTTGCCTTGGCAACACCCTTGGAGAAAAACAAAAGCAAAAGCAAGAGATGCAGAAAGCATCTCTCAGGTGAGCTTAGAGGTACTCTCAAGCACAGTCTGGCTCCTCTCTGGCTCTACTCAGCAGCAAGTGTTCTTGCTCAGGCTCCAAAACTGTGTGTGGAGGACTGAGGTTTCACTCTGCAAGCAGCAAGAGTCGTTAAAGTTGCTGGGAGCCTGAGGCAGCTCTGGACCACAGCTTAACAGCACTGAGGTGTAGGGTAGAGTTGGGGGGGGGGTCTGAAGGTCCCAAGCATGACTAAAGTGATGCTGGGGAACTGAAACTTATAGCCAGGCAGCTGGACCCTTTGGTCCAGCTGGCTCTGGGGTGCAAACTGCAGGAAGAGTCTGTGTTTTAACGTTCGGGTTAACTTTGGCCTTTTTCAAAGTCTCTCACCTTGTGATGATTAAGTTACCCCCAGTCTCTTCAAACTGCCACCAAAATTGAATCGCCATTTATAAATGACCATTTGGATCAAGTATCTTTAGAGAATACATTTATCATCTGGGAACTCTAGACCTCTTAGGGCCAAGGCTAATGGACTATTTATAAATGTATGGAAGGAATGTCGGATTAAGGAGAGAGAGAGATGTAGGGGGAGAGATGTGAGGCCAGAGGGGAAAGAGCCACCAAGAGCCTTGCTTGCCATACCCGGAACAATCTAGCATCAGCCTTTTTCCAAGAATCATGAAGAAGTTTCCAAAACCCTCAGGGGCCTCCCCAAATGGGTGGATGAGCTGGGAAGGCAACGAGAGAAGCCAAGGTTAGACAGAGATGGTGGCATCTTGTGTACAGCTGTGCAGTCAGCTCCACTCACCTGGCCACAGGTCATTGAAGAGCACCCAGGAGGCAGACCTGGACCTCTGCTGCCTAGACCTTTCCTTGCTGCCAGGAGACTCTCCCTGGCGTTCAGAACATGAGTACTGAGGACTAAGAAGCAGGGGAGAGAGGAATAGGGGTGGGGATCACTGACCAGGCCAAACCCCTGAGAAGCATTTCTCTGCAGAAGCACCCCCACCCCCTGAAAACAACAACAACAATGACAACAACTCTGCTTCTTGCACATAAGAGAAGTGAGGTTTGGAGCGTTCCAGGGATCCTTGAATCCATCAGTGGACCAAATACAAACCATCTCCTACTGGTTTTCACTAGCCCTGGGCCTCGAGATCAGCCAGCACACACCCTCCTTTGCACGGCACAATTCAATCACCAGAAGCTAACAGCACAAATACACTCCTGAGGCTGAGGAGATTTGTTTTATGACACCCAGGCAGTAGCTTCATTTTCACCCAGGTTAGGGGCCACTTCTCTGGCTCAGATGCTGCTGCATTTGATCCATTCCGAGCTGCCCAAGCTGGCCACCTGCAGCAGGGTAAAGCTATAATGCTGTGATCATCCAGACTGCTCAATCTACTTTAGAGCAACCAGAACTATCAAAGGCAAACCAAACAAAAAAACTCTAAGAGATCAGGGGAGTCACAACAGGGCCAGCTCAGGTCAGCTACAGTTCCTAACCCTAGGCCAAGCAGGGACTGTTATATCTTCAATGTGAGCAACTGGCAGCGCCACTCACACTGTATAATTAAGACATTTACTCGGGAGCAAGCCTTTTAGGTCCCACAAAAGCAAAACATCGTGATTGCTCGGTGCCTATGAGTTCCATGAACAAAACATTCCTGCTTTAACATCAACAACAAACCCCAAACCAAACAAAAACAAAAACGGAGGACACACAGCACAGAGCTACTGAAGGAACTGCACCACTCTGCCCTCTTAGCACTTCCCCAAACCACACCACGTCCCTACCTTGACAGCCTCTGCGTGGGTCACTCGGGCCAGAGATTTATCGTTGACGCGCAGAATCTGGTCTCCAACCCGCAGCCCCTCCTTCTCAGCCAGGGATCCGGGTTCCACCAGCGACACGTAGATCCCGACGCCGTGTTCCGAGCCCCCGCGGATGCTGAAGCCCAAGCCCTCGTGGGCCTTGGCACGTCGCAGGCTCACCAAGCGCACCTCCCCCGGCCCGGTGGTGGTGGTGGCAGCAGCGGCGGTGCCGTCGGGGCCACTCCAAGAGGGCTGCCTGTAGGAGGGGGTGGTGGTACTGGCGGGCAGGTAGAGGCCCTCGGCCGTGTACTGATCGAAGAGCAGCTGGTCGGAGCGAGGGATGACCAGGCGCAGCATGGGCAGCAGGCGCCGCTTGACCGGGCTGTCCAGCAGGACGCGCAGGGTGCGCACCAGGTCGAAGACGTTGCGGCGCGCGTGGTAGGCGTTCAGGCAGTGCGTGAACTGCTCCCGCTCCGCCTCGCTCAGCAGCGCCGTCAGTGCCTGGTGCAGCTGCCGCACGTTGGCC